TTCTCTTGTCTCAGCCTCCCAAGTAACTGGGACTTCGGGTGCCCGCCACAATGCCTGGCTATTTTTGGTTGTAGTTGTCATTGTTTGGCAGGCCCGGGCTGGATTTGAACCCGCCAGCTCTGGTGTATGTGGCTGGCACCTTAGCTGCTTGAGCAACAGGCCCCACCCTGGCTGCTTTGTTATTAGTGATTTCTAACTCAGTTTGAAGACACGGGTCTGTATGTTGCTGAAACCTGGTTTCTGCCTGGGTGTGGCTGGGTTTTGTGAATGTAGTGCATGTGTTTGAAAGGATGTCTGTTCTCTAATTGCTGGGTGAGATTCTAAATACATGCAGTGGAACATTAGATAATGCTTGTTAATTATGTTGTTTAAGCTCGTGTATCCTTACTAGTATTTGGCTTGCTTTGATCAGTTTCTGGGAGACTTGTGCTAAAATCTCTCATCGTTGTAGATTAATCTCTTTCTCCTTGTGATGCCAGAGTTTGCTTCATATCATTTGAGACTTGGTTGTCAGGTGCACATTTGTTCAGGGCTTTAATTTATTTTTGGCAAAATGTAACTCTAATTATTCTGTCATGACCCTCTCATCCCTCTCTAAACTTTTGCTTTAAAGTTTCTTTTGGGTGGTTTGGATTGATCTTTAGTATTAATCTGTATTTGGGTATAGTTTTTTTCTGTGCTTGTTTGAACAAATAAAATTATGTCACTTTATTGTGACATAATTCACACCCCCTACAGTTCATCCATTTAAAGTGGACCATTCCTTGTTCTTAGTATATTTGCAGAGTGGGCCAACCATCGCCATTGTCTGATTCCAGAATATTTTTGTCATTGCAATAAGAAACCTTTTACCCATCAGCAGCCCGTTTTCTCCTCCTCCCAGCCTGTGGCAGTCACCGTGTCTGTCTCTATGGATTTGCCTCTTCTGGACATTTCATATCAGTGGAACAATATAATACATTGGCTTTTCATGTCTTCTTTCACTGAGCAAACGTTTTTCAAGTTCATCCATGTCATACAGTGTATTAGGGCTTCATTCCTTTTTATGGCCAAATAATATTCCATTGTGTGGCTCTACTGTTTGGTTTATCCACTGATAGCTGCGGCATTTTGTGTTGTTTCTGCTTTTGGCTACCGTACATAATGCTGCTGTGCTCGTGGCACATGTTTTTTGTGTGGACATAGTGTTTAATTCTCTTGGGTATAGACACCAGGATAGAACTGTTAGAGCTCATGGTAACCGTTCACCACTTTGGGGAACCACCAAATTGTTTCCCACCTGTGTTACGCCAGTTGACATTCCTGCCAGCTTGTATGATGGTTCTAGTTTCTCCACTGCCTTGTCAACACTTGTTATTATCTGTCTTCCTGTTTATAGCCATGCTGGTGGGTAAGAAGCATCTGAATTGTAGTTTCGGTTTGTGTTTTCTTGTTGAGTTTCTTTTCGTGTGCTTTTAGCTCATTTGTATATATTTGTTGGAGAAATGTCTTTTCAGATTCTTTGTCCTTTTTAAAATTGGGTTATTGGCTCAGCGCCTGTGGCTCAAGTGGCTAAGGCGCCAGCCATATACACCTAAGGTGGCGGTTCGAATCCAGTCCTGGCCCACCAAACAACAATGATGGCTGCAACCAAAGAATAGCCAGGCGTTGTGGCGTGCGCCTGTGGTCCCAGCTACTTGGGAGGCGGAGGCAGGAGACTCGCTTGAGCCTAGGAGTTGGAGGTTGCTGTGAGCTGTGATGCCACGGCACTCTACCCAGGGGGAACAGCTTGAGGCTCTGTCTCAAAAAAAAAAAAAACAAAAAAAACAATAAAATTGGGATATTTGGGTTGGATGCAGTGGCTCACTCCTGTAATCCTAGCACTCTGGGAGGCTGAGGCAGGTGGATTGCCTGAGCTCAGGAGAAGCCACTGTATTCCTGACACCTGGCAGTGCTGTAAGCCATGCTTCAAATCTTCCTCTTCTGCAACTGGCCAGAGAAAACTCCCTCCTTCAAAGGAATGTTGATGATTGTGTATTATTTCTCAAAGTTTTATCTGGCTATTTCTAAATTTTATTTTTTTCTGTTGGCCGAGCTAGAATGGTGTGGTGTCAGCCTAGCACGTAGCAACCTCGAACTCCTGGGTGATCCTCCTGCCTCAGCCTCCTGAGTAGCTGGGACTATAGGCATCTTCCATAATGCCTGGCTAGTTTTTCTATTTTTAGTAGAGATGGGGGTCTCACTCTCACTATGGCTGGTCTTGAACGTGTGAGCTCAAGGGATCCTCCCGCCTTGGCCTCCCAGAGTACTGGGATTGCAGGTGTGAGCCATCGTTTCCCAGGTATAATTTTTGTTTTGGTCTTATTCTTTCCCTGTGGGTTTTACTTCTTCTTTCGAGTCCCCTCTCCCTTTGATCACCTCTGACATACTTTACAATCCCTTTGACATTGTTCTGTCATCTCCAGACGCTCATCTCCTCATAGAGTGTCAGCCTGTTCTTGCCATGGTGGGTGAAGCATTGTTTCCGGGTCTGGGCTGGCTGTATCTTGGCCAGGGATTGTTTTAGCAGCAGGAATCCCATGGCACTTGGGTAGTGGGAGTGCCCCTCCCCACTTTCTTCCAGAAGCCGAGGGCACAGTGGTCTGGGACCAGTTTATATGATGCTCTCTTCTGCCTGGGTGGTGCAGTTCAGATTCCACAGCTCTGAGTTTGTTTGGATTCCTCATGGGAGCCGTTCTTCCTTATGCCGAAGATGGGCTTCCCCAGGCCAGTGTGCAGAACTTTTCTCTTTCACAGAGACCACAGGTCTTAAAGCTGGGTTGGCTTAATTCTGCCTCTCTGTATCTTTCGGTCTTGAGCCCTTATCTGTCCTGCCTTGGTTTTGAGACCCTGCTGCAAGTTCCAGGCCTTCTGAGTTGCTCCTGGTGTCAGGTAACTGCCTGCCTGGGGCCACCAGCTGCCAGGTGATGCTTCCTTCACTTTAATTTCCCTTCTTTTTCTGACAGCCGATGATTTCCTGTTTTTGGAAGCTCCCCGACCTGTGTGCTTTCTTTCTTTCTTTTTTTTTTTTTTTTGAGACAGTCTCACTCTGTTGCCCTGTGTAGAGTGCCCTGGTGTCATCACTCACAGCAACCTCCAACTGTTGGGCTTGAGTAATCCTCTTGATTCAGCCTCCGCAGTAGCTGGGACTACAGGTGTCTGCCACTATGCTGGCTGGTTTTTCTATTTTTTATACAGACGGAGTCTCGCTCTTGCTCACACTGGTCTCAGAAGTCCTGAGCTCAGGCGATCTTCCTGCCTTGGGCTCCCAGAGTGCCAGGATTACCGGCATGACCCCCTGTGCCCAGCTTTCACTGGTGTGCTTTTTAATGCAATGAATTTTGCCAGTGATTCCGGGGGTTGTAAGTGGATGTTGGCTGTAGCAAAGACTCACTGCTTTGCAGGAACTCCAAGTCATCTGGTTATTGCTGCAGTGGGAGAAAGTGGAGACAGTGCTGTGGGGATGTAGGGGATGGGGCAAGTTGGGGGGCCGTTTAGGCCCTCCATGGGACTTCCCTTTGATGGCTCTTGTTGGACTCTGAGTTACTCCAGTGGGTAACATGTTGGCAAGTACGGTTCTGTGTGGCTAAAACGGCACCAGAAGGAAAGCTGTCGCCCTGAGTCCTGTCCCAGCTCACAGGCCTTCCTTGCCTTGCAGAGGAAGTGCTTCCCGAGAAGGAGAAGATTCTGGACAAGCTGGAACTGAGCTTGATCCACAGCAGAGGGGACAGTGGCGATCTCAGGCCAGGTCTGGGGCTCTTCTGTGTGCTCTGCCCAGTCCCTCAGTCCCCCAGTCCTCCAAGAGTGTCCTCTGGACCCCACCCAGCCTCCTGGGCCCTGTCCTCTCAGCCACAGGTCCTGGTACACATTCCTCTTCCTCTCCCTTGAGCCCTCCTCACATCCAGCCACCAAGGGAGGGGGAGGGCTGGTTGTAGAGCTTGGCCTGGGGGACTCAACTGGAAGCTTTGCCTACCTCTGGGGGTTAGAACATTTTGGAATATGCCTGGGATCAGACTCCACAGGCAGCTCCTCGGCCATCCTTGGACTTAAACTGTACTTTTTACAGCGCTCTCCTGCCCAGTGGGTGCCAATGTGGTAGGGGAGTGGACTAGGGCCTGGAACTAGCCTCAGTGCTCAGCACGGAGAGAGGGGCTGCTGGTTTGTTGTTTAAAACCATTTGAGTGGTTGAGCCCCTTTAGGACAAGGGGGATGTGTGTCCTACTTGGCTTTGGGCCCCCAGTACTTGCAGAGAGAGGCCCCTGGGTTCTGCCTTTTTGGGTGGTCAGATGAATATGACCTGTGTCCCCCACAGATGACACCAAGGCTGAGGAGAAGGAGTCCATAGACACACAGCAAAATGGGGACAAAGAGGAAAATGAGGAGGGGCAGAAGGAGGACAAGCATGGAAAGTTCAAATTCATGTTCAACATTGCAGATGGGGGCTTCACAGGTACCAGTGTGGGTAATGGACAGAGAGCTGGGGCTGTTAATGTTACAGGAGTCAGGGCAGATGTCTATTTTATACTAGAGTATGAATGGCTGATAAAAAAAAATCCATTATATAATTTTAGCAACACCAGACCTCTGGCTAGGGGTGGGGTACTGACAAAGAGGGAGGGGGACAGGCCCACCTCTTTTGAGAGCCTGGGAGACATCGCTTGTTCTGCTCACCTGGGCCCATTTCCAGAGCTGCACACGCTATGGCAGAATGAGGAGCGAGCTGCTGTGTCCTCGGGGAAGATCTACGATATCTGGCACCGGCGCCATGACTACTGGCTGCTGGCGGGCATCGTGACGTATCCTTGGCCGGGCCCAGCTGGGCAGACTCCTGCTTGTTCCTCTCCTCTCCTTGGGGAGAGCACCTCTGATGGCTCTAGGAAAATCCTTCCTTGCCTCTTTTAACTGATGGCTGCTGGAAACCCTTGGCATTCCTTGGCTTGCAGCTGCAGCACTCCCCTCTCTGCTTCTGTGGTCATGTGGCCTCCTTCCCTGTGTGTCTGCGTCCAGATTTCCCTCTTAAGACACCAGTCCTGGGATTGAAGGCCCACCCTAAACCAGTATTATGTCTTATCTTGATTACCTTTGCAGAGACCGTATTTCCAAATAAGGTCCCACTTCCAGGTATGAGGGTTTGGGACTTGAATGTCTCTGGCTTTGGTAGTTGGGGCCAAGGAGTTAACCCCATGAAACCTCAGTGCTGTGGCTGGTGCCTGAGGACACTAGTCAGTGTCTGCTGATGCTTCACTGTTATCGTCAACATCTCACGCCCCGCCCCAGCTCCCAGGGCCCCACGTCTTCCAATGGCTGGGTTTGCCCTTAACAGTGCCCACCCAGGCACGGCTATGCCCGCTGGCAGGACATCCAGAATGACCCAAGATACATGATCCTCAACGAGCCCTTCAAGTCTGAGATCCACAAGGGCAACTACCTGGAGATGAAGAACAAGTTCCTGGCTCGCAGGTTCAAGGTCAGTCCTCTGCAGGGCTGGAGGCTTCGGGGCAGTGACAGGTTCTAGGAGGGCAGCAACCCCTGCCCCATATGCCTAGAGCTGGGTCAGGCTGTCAACAAAGAGGAGTCAGTCGATCAACTAACAGTGTTGGGATTCTTGCTCTGGGCCAGGCCCCACTAGATAGATATTCACTGTCCTGAGGTGGTGACGGATACAGAGGACCCAGCTTAGTGAAGGCTCCCAGGGGTGGCCAGACTGAGAGAAGAGGGGATAGTTGGTGGGAGTGTGTCCTTCTGCCTTTCTTCCTGTGTGGAGCTATGGCCTGGGGCTGGTGCTGGTGGAGGAAAAGGGTAGTGGCCATCCAGGAAGAGGGGCCAGGCTGACCCTCAGTCCTCCACCCATTGGCAGCTGCTGGAGCAGGCGCTGGTCATTGAGGAGCAGCTCAGGAGGGCGGCATACCTCAACATGACCCAGGACCCCAACCATCCAGCCATGGCCCTCAATGCCCGCCTTGCCGAGGTGGAGTGCCTTGCTGAGAGCCACCAGCATCTGTCCAAGGAGTCCCTTGCTGGGAACAAGCCTGCCAATGCCGTCCTACACAAGGGTGAGGGAGCCCTGCACCGTGGTTGCCCACTTTCTCCTGCTAAGGGAGTGCTCCTGTCTTTAGATGAGGGCTCTGACGGTATCGGAGCTGGAGACAGAACATCAGCCCACAGGCTGTAGCCTCCTGTGCCAGGATGGGACGGTCCTGCCATCTGGCCCCTCACGTCCCCTGTGGGGAAACTGAGGCTCCTTCTCTTGCCTTTTTCTGAAGGCCTACTGTGATGCATGACCTGGGCTGGGGTTAGGTAACACAGAAAACCAGGAAATTGTAAAGGCTCCTGTTTATTAAACCCTGACAACGTCCCTTAAACTCGTTATCCTGTGAATCCTCTTAATTTCCTTACATGGTGAGGTTCTTATTGTCCCCACTTTAAAGACAAAGATACATTGAGACTCGGGGAGGGGAAGTGATTCGTCTAAGGATCTCCTGGGATTTGGACCTCGGACACTGGCTCTGTCTGTAATCTTTGGGCACATTTCTCCCCACAGGGAGCTCCCAGGCTGGGAGCAAGATTGTCCAGAATGAAAAGGGATGTAGCCAGGGTCAAGGTCACTCCTGAGAGTCTCTGGACTCATACATTGGTGCTCTGTCTGCTAAGCCACAGCCCACCTTGGGAGCACCATGTGCGGCAGGGGGCTGGGGCTGGGGCTGCAGCCTCTCTGAGAAGGTTCTAGGAGGGAGGCCCAGTGTTGGGTTAAGGGCCCCAGCCGAGCCCAGAGGGGCCCAGGAGAGTTCTCTGGAAAGCCCCACTGTGCCCTTGGTTGGCAATGCTCTCTGCCTCATGGTCTGGGTGGACCTGGTGCACAGTGCCCCTGGCGCCTGCTGCCCCTGGGAGTAGCACCTGGCAGGTGCTACCGGGCCTTCTGCCCACCCTCCGCCTCCCACCATAGTCCTGAACCAGCTGGAGGAACTGCTGAGTGACATGAAGGCTGATGTTACCCGCCTGCCCTCCATGCTGTCCCGCATACCCCCGGTGGCCGCCCGCCTACAGATGTCTGAACGCAGCATCCTGAGCCGCCTAACCAACCGGGCTGGTGACCCCACCATCCAGCAGGTCAGGTTCGGCCCTCATGCCCCGCTGGAGCCCCACCATGTCCGGGTGCCCCTGGGTTGGGGAGGGGGTAGGGGTGGGGGCGACCCCCTGTAAAGCTGAGTCCTTGCCTCCAGGGCGCTTTCGGCTCCTCCCAGATGTACAACAATAACTTTGGGCCCAACTTCCGGGGCCCTGGACCGGGAGGGATTGTCAACTACAACCAGATGCCCCTGGGGCCCTATGTGACCGGTAGGTGCCCGTCGGCCTCGGGGCAGCATGCACACAGGCGCCCGCCGGCCCTGCCTGCCTCCGCCTCCGACGCCAGGCAAGCCCACGGTTTCTCTCTTTCTGACAGATATCTAGCTGTCCCCGAGACTTCCCTCTGTCGCAGCGCTCGTTTCCAGCTGAGGTGAGGCACTGCTGGGTGTCCCACTGTCCACCCTCTCTCAGGCTGGCAAGTTGGGCCTGGCCAGAATTTCTGTCCTTGAGCCTTGGAGCCTCTGCTGCCTCTGGGGCCCTGAGAGCCACCCACTTGCCTGGAGCCCCTTTGCCCCCACCCCTTTGGCCCTGGGACCACCTCACGGTCTGTGTGTCTGCCCTCCGGGGGCCTGGGGGGCAGGACGTGTGGGGCTGGTGGGCTCGGTCTTGCTCCTGTGTGTGCATACGCCTGTGCCTGTTGGTGAGTCAGGCCGGTGGCCCTGGCCAGAGCCCTGTCCTGCCTCTGCTGCCTGCTGGTGTCAGGTGCCACATCTTGTCTCGCCCTCCCCTTCTGCCCAGGGTCAGGAGGGTGGCTGAGGGTTTGGGGGGAGGTGTTACTGTCCAGGAGAGGGGGGCTTATGCCAGGGAAAATCCCAGTTCACCCAAGCCTCCTTCCCCGGACTACCAACCTCTACTGACCCTATCTGCCCCTGAGAGAACTATCACATGACAGCCGGGGCTCTGGGGCCTTCCAGGCTGCTCTGTAGCAATCTTGACCAGTGGCCTGTGGTTGGGGGGTCATGGCTCAGGAGCCCTCTCTGGTTGTCGTTGGCTGTGATGGGCAGCTATGGCTGTCGGGTCCCCCTCTCTGCCCTGACCCCGCTCTGAGTAGAGGTCCGGCTGGCCATCCAGCTGCCCCCCAGCCGTCCAGCTGCATCCCCTGCCATCTGCCCTCTGCAGCCGTGCTTGCCGGGCCAGCTGCCTGACGCCCACAGGAGAGAAAGCTGCCGCCTTTTTAGGAGCCAGTGCCACCTTGGGACAAAAAGGGAAGCCAAGTAATGCCATCATGTGGAGGACGAGGCCCAGCCCGCTGGGCAGAGCCCAGGAGTGCCACCTCATCACGGTTCAAGTGTTCTTCCACAGTGTCAGCCAAGCCACGCGGGACGTGCCCCTTACCACCGTTTCCAGAATGACTTCTTAGAAGAGATTTCATTTATTTGTACATCTTTTGCACTTTCCTATTGAAGACTTGAACACGTTTATCTTGATAAAAGTCGGATGATGTGTGGAAGATTCTAATCCTGCAGCACTTAACGTCTCTTTACCAACGGGCTCTGGACCAGAAGGGAAGCTCTCCGGAAGGCCCGGTGCTGTCTGTGGACTCGGCCCAGCTGAGGAGGATGCAGTGTGGGTGCCCTGGGAGGAGTCCTCAGAGTGCCCTTGCCCCATCCTGTCTGTACCTGTGTGATGTGATGGCCATTTTGCCCCAGCCCACTGCCTGCTGGGGTCCCCCAGCACCAGATAGGTCAGGTTTGGGGGGTAGCCATGCAACCCAGTGGTGGAGACCCTGGCTGATGCCAGGGCAGGGCAGGGCTGGAGACCACCAGAGATTTGCTATTTCCTTGCAGGGAGGGGACTCCTCTGTTAGCAGGTATCTGTCCCAGGTGCAGTGTGTCTCAAAGGCCCTGGACTCTGTAGTTGCCAGTGGAGCACCTGTGGGCCCAGCTGCTCATGGCCGGTGGAAATATGTGCTCCAGGGAGGGAGGGGAGGACCAGCTTGTCTCAGAGCCACTAAAGGAAGGGGTTTCGGGTCTACCATCCGCCAGGGATGTGGCCTTGGGGTGTTAATGTCCCTGCAAGGAAAGTTATGGACACTGAGGTGGCCCTGGAGACCCTGGTCTGGCCCTGTGCCCTGGGAGCCTGCCCCAGCCACCTCTGGGTAGGCTCCCTGTACACATTTCCCTGGGCCACAGATGCTGGTGGGGGAGCCTGGACTCATCCCTGTTCTGTCTCCGGTGAGACCTTCATTGGGGCACTAGCTGCTTGAGGCAGGGACCCCGGCTACTGTTGCTGAGTCTCAGAGGGCTCTGCTTGGAAGTGGAGACGGGCCGCTGGCCTCTGTGGTCCTCTGCCCTCTCCCACTGGAGCATTCAGGGCTTCCTGCCTTGTGTCCTGGGCTATCTTTCCATATGTCTGTTGTCCACTGTCACAATTCCTGTCCCTCCCCTGCCCCAGCTGGAGGTAAAATGTAGGGGAAGGGAGGGAGGAGTGGGCAGGGCTCTGGGCCGATCTGTGTGTGGTCCTCCCTGACCCCAGGTCAGCCCAAAGGGGGCGTCCAGTGAAGGTGCCCCAGGATTGGGGTCCTCAAAGTGTAAGGAAGGGGCTCTGTGAGAAGCTCGCTAGGCCTGGGGGTGGAGGCACCTGGGGGCCTGAAGGGTATATTGCATATCTGGGCCTGCCCGAGGATAGCAGGGTGGTCAAGGCTGGGGCCAGGACTGTCGGCTTGTCTTGTGGACACTTGGGCAATTATCCGGCCCTCACTGAGCTCTGTATGTCCTCATCTAGTGTGGCTATCTGAGCTCTGGAGGGCCGGGACCCCAAGACTCCTCCGTCTTTATGTCCTCACATTTGGTCTTGGTTGAGAGCCCCAAGGCTGGCCTGACCCAGTGCTGTGGGGGTCAGAGTGGGAGACTCCTGAGGCAGAGAGGGGAGGACTGTTAGAGAGCTTGGGAACAGCACAGACTTCCATGACACACGTGTAGTGGCGGCTGTGGCCATTCCAGCCCCTGCTGGTTCATCCACTCACGTCCTCTGGCCAGTGCCCCCCTCTGCAAAGGCTCCTGGCTCAGGCTACAGGGCGGCTTGGAATGCCCTCATCTCCCAGTAGGTGGTGGTAGCTCTGTGTCCTCGTGTTTCACCCCAGGAAGCTTCTCTCTCTCTCTCTCCCAGGCCTTGCCTGGGGTTCCCTTCTCTGCCATGCTAGAGTCGGGCACCCACGGACAACCTGGCTCAAGCTCCTGTAGGCCTACTCCCCCAGACCACTGCCTGGTCCCGGGAAGGGCCATGCTATCGGTGACTGGTACCCAGGAGGCCAGGAGGGAGGGGCCACCAAGAGGTGGGAGCAGGTTTCTGGCTGACTGGTTCCGGAGAGGAGAAAGGATTGTGAGAACGGTTCCTTCTTGGCTTATCAGTTGTTTCCTGCCGAAAGTGGCGATGGGGCAGGAGAAGTGTCCGTGTCTTGGCGTCTGCAGGCTGCATTTGGTTGTGCTGCTGGCAGAATTAGGGTCTTGTGCACAGTGTGACCCTGTGTGCCAGCTGTGTGTTTATGTTTCCAGCCACTTTATGATTTAAACCAGTGCTGAGAAAATCGGGTTTCTGTTGAACCCCCTTTTGCCCAGTGGGCTCTCAGATGACATGGTGAGTTTAGGTTGCAGCAGTGACATCTGGAGGGCTCCCTTCTCAGACACACCTGCCATGGACACAGATCCCTGAGAGCCACCTTTGGGAGCTCTTTTGTTCTCTGAAAATTCGGCTTTTCCCAGAGGCAGCCCTGAACATTCCCTGTCCCATGAGACCAGGACTGTGGTCCCCAGGTCCTCCCCTGCCGAGGTCAGGGGCTGCTCGAGTCTCAACCCAGGGACACCTGCAGTCCTTACTCTTGTCCCAGATCACAGGGCTTTTGAGGGCCCGAGGGGGTTTGAGTAGAAGGTGGCCAGCTGTCAGTCCCGTGGAGCCTCCAGTGTGTGCCAGGGTCTGGAGGGTGGGAGCCGAGACCAACACTCCCTCCACCCACCCTGACCATCTTGGTGGCCTGGCTGTGGCCAAAGGTGGATGGGTACCCCCTCCGACAGCTCTCCTGTGCAAACCGCAGCACTGGTCAAAGCAGCTGGCTCTGGTCCCGTTTTCTATGTCTGAAAGTTTACAGGTTGTGGTACATCAGCCCAAAGTCATTGGTGTCGTCGTGTTTTTAGATTCTTTTTCCTTAATTTTCAGATTTTTTTTTTTAAACAAAGTATTTTTTTAGGCACGATAACCCAGAAAGGGCCCATTGGGTGTGTGTGTGTGTCCTGAACTCCTCACGTAGAGAAAGGATGGAGCCCAAGTCCCCCTGAAGAGGAGGGAAGGGTCCCACCGGTCCGTGGGATCTGAGCTGGGAGGAGTGGATGGAGTGAACCGCAGCCACCCAGACTCAGCATCTAGCCCAGCTAAGAGAGGGCTGGCCCCTTGCCCTAGGCTGGAGAACAAGGGGACCCTGGGCTGGGTGCAGGGCCAGGGGCACTTGGGCAAGTCAGGAGTCCTGGCCTGCGTCCCAGCGGAGGCGGGGTTTGCGCTTTGGAAGCTGAGCTCCTTGTGTGTCTGGTCTCCACCCGTGGGAGGCTGGACAGAGCCTGTAGCCGACACAATCACCTTTACTTTGTACTCTGTGTGTATGTTTTGGTTTTTGTGTTTTAATAAATCCTTTGGGAAAGGATTGAATCAAAGTGACTTTTTAAGAATTCTTACAAATTTAGAATGGGGGAGAGGGTGGCTTCTGAAGGTTTATCCCCCAAGGCTTGCCCTGGGCAATTACGGTTCACAGGCTCAGGGGTGCATTGGGAAGGAGGGGCCCCTAGGCAGCAGGGATGTGCTGGGTTGGAGCCCCTCTTACCTATACCCCCAAATATGACAGGACATCCGCTGGGTCCATCCTCTGTCATGGTAAGAATAGCGCTAGCTGGGCCCCTGAGGGCCCCCCCAAGGTTGCTGGCCTCCCAGCAACCATCCTTGGGTCCTCAGAGATGAGAAAAGAGAATGTGTGTGTTGGGGGCGTGGGAGTGGCACCCCCACCCTCTGTGAGGCTCTGGGCTGAATCTCTTGGGAGAGATGGGGGCTGGTCTCCTAAGCACCCCATCACCTACCCTCGGTCCTTGATCTCTGCCACTCCCATGAGCTTTTTCCTCCCACCCCTGGCTGCAGGCTCAGGTTTGGGGGAGCCCCTGCAGTTGGCATCCTCTCCCTGCCCTTCCGTGGTGCTCTCAGCCCATCCCGGACCCCGAGGAAATGAGAGGAGCAGAAAAACGCAGAGGCCTAGGGCTTGGGCTTTATTTTGTCATTCCATAGTTAAGGTGGTATGTCTCGGTCTGAGTCTCCTTTGGAAGCTCGAGGCAGGTGGCAGTCTCTGCCTACATAGGGAATGCGATCAGCTGAGGAACCACAGTCATTTTAAAAAACCGGCGAGAGAAGCACATTGTTTACATGACTGGACAAGGATGGGAGATGGGAGGAAAGCCCTGTGGGGACCTAGGGTCCGACCACAGGTTGTGCCCAGCCAGGGCCAGTGTTACCCTCTGGGCTCTGACTGCCGTGGTCCTCCCACTATGGCCCCACTTGACACTTTTCCCTCCCCCAGCTTCTCCTGAGCCAGGGGACCCCGCCCCCAGGAAACAAAGCTCCTGCCCTCCCTGTCAGTGGATGTGGAAGAAACAGCCCCCCAGAACCCACTGTGGGCAGTGCCGGGCCAGGAGTCTGCCTGCATCCTGGCTCTGGACACTTGGGCCTGGGCGGAGCTCACCCTGGGGCTCTTGCCTCCCTCTGGGACTCAGCTCCCCTAGGTGTGGCTCATGGGGAGCAGCAGCCCCACCCCAGGCACCCACACACTCTGGGTCCATCTTCTAATAGTGAGTGGGGCCAGGGCAGCTGTGTGGATGGGGCCCTGCTGGCGAGGAGAGGGCCATCTGGTTTTCTGGCAGCACCTGCCCCTGCAAGGCTATCCTGGGAACAGGCACCTCATGGTTGTGCCATAGGCCTGGATCTATGCTGGGGAGGCACTGCTCCTCCCCACCCCCCACCCCCCAGGGCTACTCTGGAGAAACTTGTGGCAGGTCTTGGTGGACCCCCAGGGGTTTGGTCTAGGAGGAGGGCAAAGGTCCTAGACTCAGGGGTCAGCAGGAAGATGGGCTGGGAAAGGCCACACTCTCCCTGCCCCCCCCCCAACCTCCCCTTGGGTGTGAGGCTTTCTCACAGTGGTTTCCAGGCCTTGGCTTGGCCAGTACTGGGCGGGGAGGGGCCTGCTTGGAACAGCAGCCCCTCTGTGGGCAAGGCAGAAGCTGTGCCTCTCTAGAGGGACACATGGGGGCAGGAGGCACAGGGTCCCCTATGGAGCCAGCAGGCTGGGGGTGGGGGCAGGTTCTGTGATGCCCTGCTCCTGCCTACAGGGTTACTGTGTCAGTGTTCCCCCTGCCTGGGGTTACAAAGGGGCTGACACTTGGGCCTGTCCTGCACTCCCTCCTTCTCCCCAATCTGTTCTGGGTGGAGGCTTGGGGGGCGTGGAAGGGAATGGTCAGCCCCAGTCTCTCTAGGGAGAGGTTCCCTGAAGTCTTTTCCTACTTTGTAGGGTGCTGCTGGGGGTACCAACCCTAGCCCTCCCTGCATATACAGCTCCAAGAACCCCAGGGGCCTTCCTTTACTGGAGGGGTCTAAGCATCTTCTCTCTGCACAACAGAAGCTGGGGTGGGGTGGCTTGGGGGAGGGCCTTGGATCACACAGGTGAACCAAGAGGAACCAAGAGGAACCAAGAGGAACCAAATGGCCTGCTGCCATTTGCCCGTGTGTGGTCAGCAGCTACGGTCCAGCTCAGAGTGCACAGCCATAGGGCCTTGCAGGGCAAGGACAGAGGGACCCACTTCTCTGGGCCTGTCCCAAGTGCTCCAGGCCTTGCTGAGATGGGTGCCTTTGCTGTGCAGTGGGGAGGACCATCGGACAGTGAACTAGCCTTCACAGCCCTGAACTTCTGTGGGTCCCAAACCACAGAGCCACTCCTTTGGGGGTCCCTGCCCCTGCCAACAAGGGTGGGGGTGTCAAGGGCCAGCTGGGTAGGCGTTACCCTGCTGAGGTCCAGTGGGCAGGTCAGGGCAGAGAAGGATAGAGAGGAATCTGGAGGGGGTCAGCCCCCCAGAAAGTACCTGGAGCCCTTGGAAAGAGGGAGGTTAAGGAAGACCCCCACTGGGGAAGCCCCACCCTAAGGAGCAGAGCCCTGGCAGAGGAGGCCCCTGGGGGGCTACACCCTCTTCCCCTCCACCAACACCAGACAGGGGTTCTTGGCAGAGGAGAGGCCAGCCCTGCCTGCCCTGAAGACCCAACCAGGCCTTGACTTGGGGCATCTCCATGAAGGGCTGTGGCTGGGAGAAAGCTTGGTGGCTTTTTCTTGGAGGACAAGCAGAGGCGACAGGGCTTGGGGTGGGGCTGCTTGAACGTCCTTCCTAACCAGTGCTGTCTCGGGCACAAATCCGACTTGACGTGATCTGGAGAAGCAGCGGTGGTGTCTGGCATGGACGTGGGAGGTAATTTCCTGATGATATCACAGCGTGGTGTTTTCTCTTTGATGCGAACCACACTCTCCAGTTGGCTTCAGAACAGCGTAAGCGAGCAAACAAAGACTAGGAGGGGGACGGAGATTGTCTGAGCAGGCGGCAGGGGCATCTTAGGATCTGTAGTCCTTTTTGCTGTAGGGTTTATTGCCCAAAATACTATCGATCTCGTGGATAATGGAAGACGACAGTTTTGGAAGGACCTGTGTGCAAGGACAGGGACCAATCAGAGTTCCTCACCAAGACCGCCTGGCCTGTGGAGGTGGTGGGGCAGTGTCCCTCCAGACCTTCTGCAGGTCGGGGCCCACCTGCTCCCGGCACGTCTGAAGCAGGTGGGTGTCATGCTGCTTGGGCTTGGGCTTCCTGAATCTTGCCCCACTGATCATGCTCCTTTAAAAAGCTAAGTTGGACCATGACCTTCTTGGGATCAAAATCTTCCCTCAGCTCCGACCCCACTCAGAAGAAACCTGCCCATCTGTGCCTCTCTGCCCTCTGCCCTTTCCTGTGGGCCTCTTGATCTTCTTGGGCCTTTGTGGTGGCCCAAGAGCCCTTCTGCTGCCCAGAGTCCCCGCCATGCGCCTCCGGCATTTGCACAGCTCACTCCATGACTCTTCAAGCCTTTGCTCAAATGCCACTTTCTCAACTGTCCACTGGATAGCCCCTTGTGAACCTAGGTCTGCAGCACCACCTCTCCCTGCCCCCAGCCCCCCATCTCTGGCTTTCCCACAGCGATGGTTTGGGGGTGCACCCCAAGTGTCTAGTAGGACGACACCTGGCACTCAGCCCACCGGACGTGCTGGACAAAGGCCCAGCTGGGTGGGAGCTCTGCTCGCACTCACCTGAATCGCTCCCACGTTCTCCATGAGCTGCTCTGCGTTGGAGGCGCCCAGGAGCACAGAGCTGACGCCCTCATTCCGCAAGCACCAGGCTGGAGAGGCAATAGCCAAGGTGAGAGAGGAAGGCGCCCTCCGCAGGACCCCGCCTATGGCTGACTGGGCTGGAAAGACCCAGCCTCCGGGCCTGGGGGTTGAGGGGCCCTAGGAAGCTCAACAGTGCTGGGTGGGGGCCTTGCCCAAGCAGTGGAGAGGTGGCCCAAGAGCCCAGGGCCCCCATCCTCTCTCCATGGATGTTGGGGCCCCAATACCCATGGCTGGCTTATGGAGGAGGTGGCCAAAGCCCTCAGGAACTCCCGCCATTTCCCCTAGGACATGGGTCCCGACTGCCACCAGAGCCCTGTTACCTGCGGCCAGTGGAGGCTCTTGTTTAGGGCTTTCTTACCTCTCTCCCTGGGGATGCTGGCCCCATGGTGACCCTTGGCCCCATTACCCACAGCCAACTGGCAAACACTGCAGCCTGGACCTTCATAAACCCCTGCCATCTCCCCAGGTGCACAAGAGTCCACTCTGCCCAGAGTCCCCTCACCTATGGCCAGCTGGGGCAGGGTGCAGCCCAGGCGCTCGGCGATAGCCTGCAGCTCCTTCAGCTTGGCCTGCTGGCGTCGGCCCTCCTCACTCAGGATCTTGTCCTTTAGCCACTGGTAGCCCTGGGTGGGGGGCAGGGCACAGCCACAAGTGAGGGCAGGTCACCTGGGCCCCACATGCAGATGGTGACAATCTATGTTCCTTCTAGATCCTTCTCCGAAAAGCAGCTATTGTCTTAAAGCCAGGGCAGCACCCACCCTGTGTCAGGGTGGGCAGGAGGGAGAGAGGCCTGCCCACACTCTGAGTGCCATCTACAGGTGCACGTGGACACCCAAGCCAGGACAAGGAGGTGAGGGCTTCCCTGCCCTACTCCCAGGGACCCTGGGTGTCAGGAGTGCTGGCTGCCCACTGTGGCCCAGAGGAGCCCTCTCCCCTCCCTAGCGGCTCCAAGGCGGGTCTGTCCTGGCTGGGTAGGCCTTTGCTGCCCGCTTTATATTCCTGCAGTCTGGGGTCCTCCAGAGGTATGTGTGACAGAAGGGCACTTGTCCCAGGGTCAATGCTGTGAAGCTCTGCAGCCCCCAGGGTCTTAGTGATGGCAGAGAGTGGGAAAGAATATGGGGAAGGGGTACCTCAAATGTCACTGGTGGACTCAGTCCATGATATGCATATTGGGGTGGGGGCAGAGGTGGGGGTATATGAAGGGCCCTTCCCATCTGGGGCAGGTCCCACAGGGTGGGCAGCCCCTCTAGACATGGGGTCAGGCCAGAAGGGGCTCCATGTTCTCATGCCACAGTACCAGCATGAGAGGTGAGGGCAGCTGTAGCCCAGGGAAGCCCTCGCCCAGCACCAAGGCAGTCTGCCAAAAGGTGCCCCCCTACCCTCCAAAATGCCTGTCCTCTGCCTGTGCCCTCCCCCTCCCTGGCCACGCCTTCACCTTCAGGGAAGCTCTCGAGTAGGGTGGGATGCCACTGTCATACTTCCCGGAAACGATGCCACAGGCCAGAGGGGACCAGGTCATGGCGCCCACTCCTGGAGAGGAGAAAACCGGGCAGAGTCAGGCCTGGGCCTGGTGGGGCAGGTGGGCAGGCGGCGGGGCAGTGCCTACCTATCTTGTGGAATAGCTCGGGCAGCTGCACCTCCACCTTCTCGCGCTGGAACATGTGGTACTCAGCCTGCTCACAGATGGGCGGGATCAGGTTGAACTGCCGGGCCACCGAGTAGGCCTCCTGTGGGGCACAAAGGGGCCCCGATGGCCCCTGCCTGTCAGTGGGCCTGGAGAGCTGCGGGTAGCAGGTGAGAGGACACAAAGGCAGCCCTGGGACATGGCTGGCCTGCTGACCCCCACCCCGCACACAGCTTTCCTGTGGTGAGCTGGGCAAAGGGGGCACATGGGGGACCCCAAGGCTGAAAGGTCTGGGAAGCACCATGCAATAGTACAGTGGTGTCTGGCACGTACTGGCTGAGTGGCCTTGGGCACTGGGCCTCAGTTTCCCCAAATTAGTCAAGGCTGTTCTCAGGCCTCACTATAGAGCCCTGTTGGCACTGGGCCTGCTGGATGTGCTGTTACCATTTCTGCCTTGATTGCTACTCTGGGGTCCCAGATCCAGGATGACGGCAGGTCAGGACACCCCAGGTCAGGAGACAGTAGTGAACATCCGCCCATTTCCGGGGGTTGGAGCTCAAGGCCTGGGTTATACAGACTCTCCCTCAACTCCCATCTGACACTGTGTGCCAGACTCCTGGCAAAGCCCTGCTGTCCAAGAGGCCTTTTCCCCTCTGGTTTGAGACTCAGCTTTCTCATCTGTAAAATGGGAATAATGATACTGACGCCTCCTCCAGCTCAGTGCTGGCTCCAGGCGGCTTCAAGAAATGCCAAATAAATGCTCACTAATGCCACAAATACCACAGGCTGATTAACAGGGAGGCTTCCACAAATGTGTTTAATCTGAGGTGGAGATCCTGCTGAGCGTCTTTTGTAAAACAGGAATGCCTCTCAGGGACAGCAGGGTGCCAGGGGCAGCAGGTGGGCACAGGAGCTGGGCAGTGGGCACCTTGGGGTGGTGCTGCCCCAGGCCTCTGCTCTCACTCTGCAGGAGGGGACCCCAGCCTTTCCCTCTCCAGGTCCCACTCTATACCTCTGAGAGTAGGGCCACCCTGCTGATGCTGACTCTTCCCTGGAGACCCCAGAAATATCAAGAAACATCCCCCACCCGCAGCCTCTGGGAAATGACAATTAGTGGGAAATTGGGGAATTTCCTATGGTGGGAAATGACAATTAGTGGGACACTTTCCTGAAAATGTGGGCAAAGGGAAACACCACAGATTATGAGATGGAAGCCCCAGATCCTAATAGCTGAGTCACGTTCTGATGCAGCCCAGGCTCTGGGTCACATGACTGGGTGTCATTCTTGACCTGAGCTTTGTGACCCTGGGTATGTTACTTAATCTCTCTGTGCCTCAATGTCCACATCTGTAAAACAGCATGACAGTAGCACTACTGCACCGTGGGGATTCATGGGAGTTAGTCCCTAGGAAGCCCTTAGATCTGGCAGCACCTGGAACATCCCCAGAACCTAACATGAGTGGTGAACAGTGTCCCTGCTGCCGAGGGCTTCCCAAACTCTGGCACCTTGCCTAGAGCGTCACACTGGTTCTCTCAGAGAATCTTCAGAGCGGCCCCATGAGGGGTCATGTTACCAGGATCGTTCTACAGAGGGGAAACGAAGCTCAGAGAGGTGACGCCAGCTGTCCAGACCACACAGTGTCAGGATTCCAACTAAGACCCCTGTCTGCAGGGCCTACAGACACCACCACCACATTCCAGCACCATCTCTCTGCCTAGGACTCAGTTATCTGTGCACTTGGGACCAAGGGCGCAGGCTGTGCAGGGGCATCGGAATGTTCTGCAAGTGGCCCACACCGTGCACACGGCAGCCCATACCATAATCTCCATGGAGCTCCAGCGTGACGTGCCCCAGTACATGGCCATCCCCTGGTTGATGACGTGCGTCATGGCTCGAACGGTCTCTGTCATAAGAGAAGAAACTGCAGGTGTGGGGGGATCTGGGGCATGGAGCCCAGCGTGGGGATGTTCTGCAAATACAGGCAGGATGCCGGGAGGAGGGTGGGGACTGCAAGGACGTCTTGCAAGCAGTGTACTTCCTAGCTCCGAACATGGGCGTGGGAGAGCTTTTCCCAAATGAAAGAGAAAAGTGAGCCGCCATCCAAGAAGCTGGTCTTGAGAGTATCTCCCCATCTAGTTACAGGCCTTTGGAGTCTGAAACTGGGTCATGGCTGGACTGTGACTTGTCTGTTAGATGAGAGCAATGAGGACGAGGTGAGATCAAAGACTGAGACTCTGGAATGGGGCATTCTCCAGTTTGGAGAAGAATGGGGGACCCCGATCACTCAGCAAGGACCAGATGAACGGATCAAGGCCATGATCAAACTGGCAAAAGGCAACAGGAAGGAAACACAGTCGGACATCTTTCTGGTCTCCTACTTCCGGCTGTCCCAGATTTTGTTGGCTGTGTGGAGAACTGACTGGCTGGGGAATGATGGTATCTGCAGGGATGGAGAGGGGCTGCAGGGATGAGTCCCCTCATATTCACTGAACCAGAGTAGGCGTGGACCACAGCCCAGGTTCTCAAACCAGCCCAGCACCTGCACGGGATGGCCCGAGGGTTACAGGGTCTGGTGCTCTTCCTCTAAGGGACCAAGGCCTGCAGTAGACAGGAGGTGCAGCCTGACTGTGGGACAGCTGAGACACACTGCCCCGAGGGCTAACTCACTGAAACTCCACACCACCTTTTAGGTAAGAGAAAACAGACCCTCGTCCCAGATACGGGACAGATTCCTCCCAGTGTTTGAACAAGTTTTTGAGACATAAAAACCTGCTAGTGATAGCTCCTCCCTCCACTGTTTCAGCCTCACAGGGACGTTGGGGTTTTAAAAACACCTTGGCCTCAGATTTTCAAATTTCAAATGCCTCTTAGTCTTGCGGGGTGAGGGGCTGATCCACCCGGTTTCCCATCGGTCCGATACAGTGCTTGCAAGTTACTGCCCAAGGCAGAATTGGAAGTAAAGAGGAAGAACAAGTGTTTCTAAAAACAGTGCGGTAACATTGACCCTTGAAAATCCCCATCTCTCCCTAACTGCCCAGCCCCTCATTTGCCACTGAGCCGGAGAAGCTGAGGTCCCTGACGGTGGCTGGGGTGGGAGGCCTGGAAGGGGAGATGGAGAGTGCTGGGCTTGTTCTGACAGCTCCACTGCGGGGTGGCAGCGAGGCCAGGAACACCTCCCCACACTGAGTGGCAGTGCTAGCTTGCCGCCCACCCTGTTTTGAGGTGTCACTTCCTACCCTTCCCAGGCCCCTGAGAGCCCTATTGGCTGAGGTCCAGCCTGAGTGGACCCCAGGGCCTCCCAAGGGCTAGAGCTCTGGGTGGCACCTCAGCAGGCTCACCTGGACCCCTAGAACGACACAACTCAGCTTCCATGCTGCAGACCTAGCCCTGGCCTCTGCTTCCTCCCAAGGACAGGGAGAGGGGCTCCTGAGAGTCCTCCCTGCCCCATGCACAGGTGGAGTTCTGGGAGGGAGTCCGAGCCTATCCGGGGACACCCTCTGGGCTGCCCACTCTGACTGCCAACACCAATGTACTCTGAGGAGGACAGTGCCAGGCAGAAAGATCTGAGGAGGAGCTGGGGTCCGAGAAGAGGGACCACAACCTGACCCTGGGCTGAGGCTTCTGACCTTCTCATTAAGCTTTTTTTAGAAACACTCTGGGGGCACCTGTTGCCATGCAGCACACCTTCCCGATTCTTCTCAGCCAAGGCTCAGGTCCACATGCCAGAGAGAGGGAAGCAGGGCCCCCCAAGGCCGCCCCACTCCCTCGCACTGTTCCCCCCGCCCCCCGGCTCTCTCTGGTCACCAAGACCCCAGCCAGTGAGACTGCGTGGTGCCCTGAGGTGCCTCTCCCATGCAATGATGGGACCCCTGACCCGACAGGCAGGGTCTGCTTGAACCTCTGGCTATCTTGAGGGGGAGGGACCCCAGCAAAGGGCCCTGGGCTCCCTGGAAGGTCCTGGGCAGAGGCAGGCTGGATGGGGCCTCTGCATCTCTGTCCAGAGCTGACGTCAGTGCCCCTCCTGGGACAGTGAGGGACAGCTATCCTTCACCTCAATATGTATTTTTTTATTTTTTGCAGTTTCTGGCCGGGGCTGGGTTTGAACCCGCCACCTCTGGCATATGGGGCCGGCACCCTACTCCTTTGAGCCACAGGCGCTGCCCCCTTCACCTCAATATTTAACGGTGTTAAATAGAAGCAGGAGGATGGCATTCTTCCAGCTTCTGTCCAAACCTATGGCACTTCCTGCTGTGTCACAAATAATTCATGGGGGGGGGGGCTGAGTGGCAGTGCCCACTGGCAGGTGAGGGCCTTCCATGTGGAACACAGCCCCATCCCAGAGAAACCGTGCCAGCCCTTGGGTGGGCTCCTGGGGCTGTCGGTCAACGGGAGGGCCAAGGCTGCCTCTGGCCTCAGAATTCTGCCAGGTCCTTAGTTATTCTTTGAGGAGGAAAATGACTCTGTTTTGGTGGAGAGGTCTGGTCACAAAGAGAGGGAAGGTGGCTGTGCTGGGAGGAGGAGTTAAGACTTGCTGGGGGCCAAATGTTCTGGGGTCTCTGACAGGTGTGTGCTCCTGTGGAAACCTGGTCTCCCAACTCTTCCCGTGGCACCTTCCGGGGTCAAGGTTCCAGGCAGGGATCACAGCACCCTCGATCAAGAGGTGGCCCCGGCAGACAGCTGGCCGGCCACCGTGGATCACAGCAATGCAAGCCTGGGGCTGGGGGACCATGCACGGAAGGACAGGGATGAAATGGCAGCGTGAATTGGGTGGGGGATGGAGGCATCCGACACTGCTTGGCTTTTCCTTCACTTGCAAGATGTTCTCATAGGGAGCTCCCCCTCCTTGGTGCATTTTATGGAGAAGTTTGTCACGGGGCTGAAAGAGCCACGTAAGTTAAAACCACTGTCTCATAAAATGCAGCTCGGACGCAGGAGTCAATGGCTGGGCTAAGGGTGCTGTATACCTTCTATGATGAATGTCCTTGACTTGGAGGAACTAAATGGGTCTCCTGGTGATAAAAGAAAGATTTAAAGAGACCAGAGTTTATAGTTGCGGGAACACTGAGAGGTGTGGTGTGACAAAGGGACGGAGGTACCAATCACTCTGCACCAAATACTCATTTTGTTAGAAAGGAATAAATATATATACCACACATGGTATATATATATAAACAAATGAAGAAAAAATAACTTGAACACAACTTAATTTTCCAAGTCCCTGGAGCAGCGAAGCATAAATGACAAGGTGCCTGCACTGGGACGTGGCGGGGGACAGGGTGTGCTGAGCTCGTGGAAGTCAAAAGAATAAAAACACCAAAGAAACCTTTTTGAAGCACTGAACATTTTTTCTCCTCTATGTAATAATAAATCCCCTAGAGCAAAAAGGACCCCTAAAACCTCTCAATAGAACGTAATTGAAAATAATGCAATAGTTTCGAGAGTCGTCACACGGAGCCCTTAGCTGTGGCTGAGAGGAGAGAAGAGTTCACTGCGGCTGAAGGGGGGAGGGAGCGTGGGTGGAGCAAGGGTGGGCTGGGGGGTGGCACCCACAGGCTGAGCCCCCACCTTGGGCAAGCCCTCACCCCTCCCACCCCCCAAGGCCTGGCGTCCTGTGAGCACCCGCCTGGCTGCCCGGCGGTGGTCTTTGGAGCCTCAGGTTCAGACCCCTTGTCAGCTTAGCTCTGTCCTTTGGACCTGCCAGGCCCCGCTAGCCAGCTTGGCAGACTACCTACCTTCCATGGGTGTGTTGGGGTCCGGGCGGTTGGCAAACACCACGTCCACATATTCCAGCTGCAGTCGCTCCAGGGAGGCCTTCAGACCTGGGAAAGGACAGGGGGCCGTTACTGCTGCCAACGTGTCTTCACCGACATTTCAGGGGCCTCCCTGTGCCAGGTTCAGGGGATGGGAGATGGAAGTGAGGAGGCTCCTGCCATCTGGGAGCTTCAGGACGGCTGGTGGACACTGTGAGTGTCGGCTGCCTCCCTTCAGGAGGAAGTATGGGGGAACCACAGGCCCAGTGTCCTGGGACCCATTGAAGTGGGACTCCCAGGAGCACGCCCTCCTCCGGGTTCTTCTCCTTAGCTTCCTGGTGTTGCAAGTGGAGAGCCCTGTTATCACACATGGAGGGACAAGTATGTCCTCTGCCACATGAAAGGCCAGTCGTGTCTCAACATACAAACTAGTACTCAGAGCTGTTCAGGACAAACATTTGGCAGAGTGACCATGTTGGATTTGGAAGGTGGGGAGTGACTGGCAGCCAGGTCCCCTAACTGAGTTTAGTGGAGTGCTGTATTATTTTGAAGACAAATACTTGAATAGGAAAGACAAGAGGACAACAGAAATACGAGAAAGCCCGGACACACCGGCCACCCTCCGTGGGGTCCTTCCGGGGTGGTGCTTAAGGGTTCCCAGTAAGTGATGAGCAACTTTTCCTGGGTTCTCCTGGATACCCAGCAACCCCGGAGGGGTGGGATGCTTTCACCAGCCCATTTTACACATGCGGGACAGAGGCTTGGGGAAGAGATGTCCCTTACTCAAGTCCACTCAGTCAGGGTTAGGTTGAGCTGGGATCGAAACTGAGGCCTTTCTGTGACCAGCACAGAGCTACCCTCATTCCTTGCAGTGAGGGGAGGGTCAGACCAGCGCGCTGGTGTCCACCTTTGGGCCCTCTGCTGTTGTGACTGGTGGGGCGAGCCTCCCCCCACCCACACACACAGAGACAGGCCTCACCTTCTATGATATGTTTCCGGGAAAGGCCCCTCTCCGTCTCGGCTCTGAAAAACAGGCCGATAGTGTGGTGATGTTGAAAGTGGTTTGGGAAAAATGTTTATGATGCAATATTAGGCGAAATCAGTGGGCCAGCAGACGCCGTGAGCGGTCTGGTTCCATTTCGGGGGTAGAAAGTCAGAGCCACAGGGCTGAGCTCCCCAGGCCCGGAGGGAGCCTGGACGTGCTCCCAGGTGGGGGCTGGGCGGCGGCAGGAATGGGGCTTTTGTTTTTCACCTTTACCCTTTGGTTTGGTTTGGACTTCTCAAAAAAATTTTAAAAATTAACGATGAATTATATTCATAATTTCTATGAGCCCAGATTTGTCCATGCCTGGAGAGGATGAGTAGCCAGCAGGGGTGACCAGCAGCCCAGAGAATTTGGAGTGGTTTGGGCAGTTCACACATTTTCTGTGTTTTTCGGACTTTTCATGATGATACCTTTCCAGTCAAGGAGAAGAACAACCCACGTAAATAAAATAAAAATTAAATGAGGTTTGAGTAAAAGGCAAACTCAGCCCAAGCTGCTTTTCTGGATTTGGTGTCCCGTAATAAGGACGACCACCAGTCACAGCAGCTGGCTTTGCCAGCGCTGCCTGGGGTGCAAGGACAGGGCCAGACCAGCACACTCAGGACAGGGGACAGAAACAGCACCGGGCCTGGGTGTTGATGGAGCCCGGCACACCCTCCTTCTCAAGGACAACTCTCCTCCCCCACCCCAGGGGCTCCTAAGTTGGGGGCCTTCAAGAACATGGGCTGCTGGAGCCCAGACAGAGACAGCCCGGGCAGAGAGACGGCCGGGGCAGAGAGACAGCCCGGGCAGAGAGATGGCCGGGGCAGAGACACTGCCTAGGCAGAGACACGGCCTGCGGCTGCACCTACTTTCCACCCCAGAAGATCTTGGTGGTGATGACGAGGCTGGACCGTCTGTGGACAGAAGAGAAGGAGGGTTAGTGGGCTCAGCTGCTGAATGGGCCTCCCTCATCCCTCACACAGGGTCCTGAAAGCCTCCCCTCCTGGGCACCCAGCTGTGCTGTGGGTGCCTCATCTTCTGGTGTGCACCACATGCCCAGTCAGGGCGGTGGGGCTCCCATCAAGCCAGAGGCAGTCACCTAAGTGGGACAGTGGGGACTCAAGTGCAGAGGAGATACGCCCAGCCCAGGATGCGGGAGGGGGCTGGGCTCGGGGGTTGGGAGGCCCATGTAGGTTTGGGTGGGGTGGAGGGGGCAGCGAGAGCCAAGCCCCACAGGGCCCAGGTGTGGGCTGGGGGGTAGACAGGGCTCTGGTGGGATCTGGCAGGAACCGAGGATGCAAAGAGGCAGAGGGGCCAAGCAGTTGGGGCCGACCCCTGTGGGACGGGAGTGACGGGTGTCTCAGAAGATGTGGGGGGGAAGCCTAGCAGGGGATGAGCCTGGGGGTACTGAGCGAGGGAGCACGGTGGGCCCAGGCACAGCAATGCTGTTGGTATTTAGGGGCTAGGTGACTGAGGCTGAGAACCCCATAGGTCTTGGGCTTGAGCAGAAGGAGGAGCAGGAGCCCATTTTCATGTGTGACGTCTACAGGAGGCGATGGCCACACTAGAGGCTGCATGCTGGTGGCATGGGGGCCATGGCCCAGCCACATTTGACCTTGTCCCTTCCCAAGGGAGGATATGCATACTGGTGTGTGTGTGAGAGAGAGAGACATGACCTCTCAGTGCCCTGCGGCTGTGATGTCTCTCACCGGGGTCAGGGGTTGTTCCAGAGAGCAGCACATCAAGGCTGGAACAGCCGCCATGCTTGGGAGGGGCAGTGGCGTTTGCCAACATGTGCAATTCCGTTTAATTGTGGGGTGAGCAGGAATTTAATTTGGGATCAATTACAGTCAAGAAGAAACAACCTTTCTGGGTCAAGAGAAGAGGGTCAGGGATCCAAGCCACAGGGAGTGGGCTTCCTGGCCAGTGGTCCTGGGAGTCAAAGGGGAAGGGATAGGAGGCCCAGATCTGCGGACATTTCTGAAAATCGTAGGCCCTACAGCTCCTTGGCCCTTTAGAGAAAGCTGTGGCCAGAGGCTTGGGAGCCCCAAGGTATAGGCAAGAGCTGAGCCCAGCAGCCTCGAGGAGGGTGGAGACTCTTGCCTGCAGGAGGGGAGAGCTGCAGGTCCACCCCTGGGCTCCACAACCTCTGCGGGACACACGCAGCTGGGATCTATGCTGGGGACTGCCCCTGGAGGTCACTACTGGCCCTGAGCTGTGCAGGTGATTTACAGACTTGGGGCCACTGACCCTCAGGACAGCCCTGACAGGAAGTCTGACACTTATCCCCTTACAGGCTGGGACAAAGTTCTCCAGAAGCTGAGATACTTTGGTATCCAGAAGCTAAGGTCCTGTGGATAAGGTAGAGGGTGGGGTCTAACCCCTGTCCATCAGGCTCTCTGAGCCGCCCCCCTCTTGGGCACCCTGGCTCCTGTGGCCCTAAGTGCTCCAGCCAATGGGGCAGAAGGACCTTGCACCTGACCCTCAGTGGCAGCACCCTCTGTCATATTGAGGCATTCAGGGGGTTCACACTTCCAGCTTTTTGGCCTGAGACTTTGTGACCAGGACCTTGGCTCTCTGAGTCCCTGGGGATGGGCTTGGGCAGAGGTGGAGCGGAGGTGGGTAGCATAATTGGCCTCCCCTTGACTTTGGGGAACTGAATTTTCCTGCCCACTTCTGAGCAAGAAAACTTTGGGAGTTGCAGGTCTTGGCCAGACTGCACAACGGGCTGCTAAGGCAGAACCCGGGACCCTCTGTAGCTAAACAGGAAAGAAGCTTCCCGCCTTCCCTGTGTGATGTGGGGACAGATGTGGAGGGAGTGGAGCAGTTATTACCTCCAGCCCTTCTTCTTGATGACGTTCCCTAAAACCACTTCAGCCCTGCACGAGAAAGAGAGACACGGAATTTCATCACAGCAGAATGGAGAAGTCAAGCCCGCCCTGCTGTGACAGTTGGCCTCCTGGTCCCCCTATGAAAATGCCAGTGGGGCCAGGGAGCCAGGCTAAGGCTCTCCCTGGCTCCCCTGGCAGCTCATTCCAGACAGGGGTGAGGTCTGCAGCAGCCAGAGGGGGCTGGGAGTGGCCATGGCATGCACAGGAGGACGGAAGCCATGTCCTGCCTGGCAAGGTCAGCATCTCATTTCTCTGGGGAAAATTCCTGGCCATGTCAGGTGGGAGAAACTTCCAGACAAGTGTCTTTTAAAAGTGAAATATTTATCAGGCAGGTCCTCTGTTTCCAGAGGATGGGCCTGCACATACACATACGTGTGCCCACGTGTGTATGTCTGTAGGAGACGCCAACATCCGAGCAAGATGATCTGCAGCTGAGGCGTGGACCTCGGGCCATTCCTCCGAGGAGTTCCTTGTGGGAGGAGCCCGTGCCCTCAGCACGTAGTCATTGTTAATTTCTCCCCTCACCTGTGTTGTTCTGGCTCAATAAAAGGCTGGTGCGGAGGTTGCTCGGGGCTACCCGGAAAGTAAGGGCTAGCCCGCCTTCCACAGGCTTGTACTTCTAATCCGCTTCTCACCTGGTTCCTTTCTGCGCTAACCGAGACCAGGGCCACAGGAGCCCGACGGGTCACGACGTATGTTCTTCTTGTTTCCTACTTTGGGAGAGCAGAGACGGATGCTGTGCTGTCCTGTTCCCCTTGGCATCACTCTGGGTCCTGCACTGAATGCCGGCCGGCAGGAGCTCAGGTAGGCTGTTCCAGCCTCACTTGGCACTACAGTGCTGAATTAAACTTTTAAGAACTTTCTGCTTGTAGCAAAATGTTTCTGAGCAAAAACAATGGGTGGAGACTGATCCATGCCTGTGCTCCATTCCGATCACAAAAGTGCCCGAGTCATCCACTCAGAAATGACCAGCTCTGGGGTGGTGCCTGTGGCTCAAGGAGTAGGGCGCCAGCTCCATATACCAGAGGTGGTGGGTTCAAACCCAGCCCTGGCCAAAAAAAAAAAAAAAAAAAAAAAAGAAATGACCGGCTCTGAATTGCAGGCTGTGTGGCATCCATTTGGAATGCTCCTCATTGTGGCCAGGATGCACAGAAAACTTGCTCAGCCCTGGGCTTCCTCATTTTATTCCTTGGTCCTTGATTTGTTGGACAAAGGGCCAGGAAAGGAGAAAGATAAGACAAGCTGGCAGTGGTCCTGGGGGTATAGGAGCTGCAGAGAATGAGTTAACTGAAGCCTGTTGCTGGGGGCCTTGGCTGCGAATTGGTCAGACCTGCATCTATCCAGGAGGACGCAGAAATCCACAGCTCTCTGGGAAGCATGACACTAGTGTCAGCGATACATGTCTCTGCCACCCTGGTCAGCGAGGCTCTGTGCCCACAGCAGCTTCTCCCTGCTGCCCCTGTAGGCAGTGCAGCTCCCCCATGAGGGTGTCTGCGGGCTGAGGCAATGCGGGGGTGTGCAGGCAGGCTCAGCCCTGGGTGAGATGGAGGGGCTGCAGTAGTGGGCGGAGGAAGAGAGGTGTGCCCACAGCAACTCTGCCCTGAGGGGAAGTGCTCCCCCAGTCCTTGGCTTCCGGGAAGCCTGAGGCTGCTCAGGTGTGGTTGCCCAGCTTTCTAGCCTGGGTGTCCAGTTAAATGGACTCACAGATAGCAACACAGAGCAGAGAGTGGCTGCTGTGACTGGAGTGTGCTGGGCCCCATCCATGAGGGCTGCACGGACTGCCTCCTACACAAGCCCCTGGGCAGCCAAGCCGAAGCTGAGGCAGGCCAGGGGGCTGGTAGGGGGCTCAGAGTGGGCAATGCCCTGTGCTCAGCAGGTACTGGGCCTTCTGACCTCTCAGCTTAGCTCATCTGCCTTTCTGGAAAGAACTTCATTTTGGTGGGAAGCTGCTGCCGGTTTGAAGGTGGTGGGAGGGAGCTGAGGGCTTTGGGGGTCCTAGTAGAGGCCTCTAGGCTGGCAGCTCGCCAGGCTCTGGGTCAGGACTTAAGCACAGTGGCACTCTGGGCCCCACTGCAGGCTTTAGGTGACAACCCAGAGCCCCAAAAAGCAGGTGCTGGCCTTGTAGCCGTGGTGCATGGCAGGCCAGGCTGCAGCCCGCCCAGCTGGCAGGGACTCCTCTCAACCCAGGCAGGAGGGGTCCAGACGGAGGACGAAGAGAGAGCCAACAAATGATTTCACAAACAAAAGCTGACTTTTGGAAACCTGATGCAGGAGAGGGGATGATTTGATTACATTCAGTCTTTAAAACGAAGCCAACAGGCCCTGGCGGAGGAGGGCTGAGCTGCTACATAATTGAGCAGGAAAGTTCACTGCCAAGACGGGAAGAGCTTCCTGCAGCTCCACGAGGGCCTGTGCTCCCTGCAGCCCTAACTGCACCATTAAGATGTGAAAATGTCAGGCACATGGGGCTGGCTGGAAGTCACCAGTACTTGAAGAGGGCCCAGGAGAACAGCTTCATCACAGAACAGCCTCTGTCGCACCAGGGGGAGCCTGGTCACCCCAGGGCTGGGGCACACAGAGTGTTTAGCCAGTGATCCTGTGTCCATGTGCTCTGGGACTCCAGCCCTCAAGAAAACAATACTTCGTAAAGCTATGCAGAGTGGACACTCTGGGGAATGCGAGTCGTAGGAATACCAGGAGCTCTGGGCCTCCCCAGGCGTTGTGGACCTGTTTTCCCTACCAGGAAAGACACGTACTTGCCGGCCGCATAGACCTCTGCGGTATCGAAAAGGTTGATCCCATTGTCGTAGGCCAAGGTCATCAGCTGCTCTGCCATCTGAAACGAGAGCACCGGTGCTGTCCTGCCAGTAGGAAGGACCCTCGAGGCCTGGGAGGCCTCCCTCACGCCAGGCCTTGCACCTGGGGCCTGACAAGTTCCTCTCTGGCCCTCCTGTGCCCCCTCCTGATACAGGACAGGGAGGGAGGCAGCTCTTAGTAATAGACCCTTAAGAAGAACTAAGAAAGCAAAGTGAAGGCTGGAACAACCCCACAGACCGGATTTCTTGAGGGCATAGACCCTCTAGTTGGGCCATCACAGGACTTAGCACTTATACAGGGTTAAATAGTGTCCCCCCCAATTCACATCCACCTAGAACAGTGGTTCTCAACCATCCTAATGCTGCAACCCTTTAATACTGTTCCTGTGGGTCGTGACCCACAGGTTGAGAACCGCTGACATAGAACCTCAGAGAGTGATCTTACTTGGACACAGGGCTTTTGTGACTGTCATTAGTTAAGGTGAAGTCACACTGCATCAGGGTGGGCCCTGAATCTTTTATAAAGATGATAGCCTTCCTCAGCCAGGGCTGTAGTCTTTATAAAAAAGGAAGACACAGACACAGAGAAGTCTCCGTGACAAGTGCATCAGAGGTTGGAGAGAGAGCTGCCGGCACCTGCCAGAGTCCAGGAAGGGGCGTGAGTGGCTTCTCCCTCGGAGCCTCTGCTGACCTGGTGACTTCCGATCTCTGGCCTCTAGAGCTGGGAGAGCAAAAGCTTCTGTTGTTTTAAGCCACCCAAGTTGTGGTACTTTGTTATGGCAGCCCTGGGAAACGGGGGCTTGCTAGATCTCTGCAGAATGATTAAAGCCTCAGCTGTGTGTTCAGCTTTCTCCCACTGGATCCATCTCGGCACCTGCACTAGGACCATAACATTATTTTTTGTAGATGGAGAAGTTCGTACATGGTGGGGCTGAGAGCCATTCTGCCCTGCCAGGGTGTCGCCAGGGCCCTGCCCCCCAGCCCTGTGTGGGAGGCGTGTGGTAGGGGCTGCCTTGTAGGCAGGACTGAGGAACGGCTGCCGTCTGAATGTTCTGCCGACTGGCCAGACCTTGCTCACAGAGCTGCTGTTGGGATGTGCTTGTACCTCAAGACAAATCAGGCTGAGTATCCAGGAGCCTGGCTGCCCACCTGTAAGCATGACAGCTCCCACTAAGAGGCAGCAGGAGGTGTCCCTGAACGCTGCTGGCCCCCTGGATGTGTTGCTGTCGCCCTGAGTGTCACCCTGTTCCAAGCTCAGCTTGGAGTACCAGGCCTCCCTCCCCAGTGAGCCCAGGGCAGGTACAGAGGTTCCCTTGATATTGAGCTTAGAGGCCCCAGTGCCAGGCAGGTGTGGAGAGTGAGGACAGTGTCCTGTGAGGACACCCCTGAGGGAAGGGCCCATGCCCAATCGCTGCCTGTGGGAAGGGGGACCCAGTGCTACCAGATACCCTGATTTTTTAAGAGAAGTCAGAAACCCAGGGTATTTGGGGGTAGTGTGTATGTAAAATCTCCCTGCCTGGAGAGGTCAGTGCTAATCCCCAAACACTCCAGGCAGCAGGTGCAGCCAAGCCTGGCGCTAAGCCCCGATTAGTCAGCGGCTGTGGTTTGAGTCAGGAAGCCCTGGGGGGGCTGGGCCATTAGTTGTCTGGATCCACCTGCAGGGCTGAGTGCTGGGTCCCACTGGAGCTCACCTGCATGGTCCCAAATACACGGGGCTGCCTTACTGCCCTCTGAGCCTCCTCCTGGATGCGCCCCTCCAAGGGAGCTCCAAGGAATCTCACCCTACCCAGCACCTCCTTCCCCGGCCAAGGCTCCAGCACACACAGGTGGTTCGTGCTCATCTGTCCTGAATCAGGTCTTGGATGTGCCCCTTCCCCAGCTGAGGCTCCAGCACACACAGCTGGTACGTGCTCATCTGTCCTGAATCAGGTCCTGGATGCACCCCTGTAGCCAGGGCTCAGCAAGGCCCAGAAGGGCCTTCCTGCAGGGCGTCTGAGAGGACAGGGCTGAGGGTTCTGTTTTTTTATTTTGGTTTCTGTGTTTAGGATATGTGTATGTTTTCTTCTACTCCCGCTTTCCTTTTTTTTTTTTTTTTTTTTTGCAGTTTTTTGGCCGGGGCTGGGTTTGAACCTGCCACCTCTGCCATATGGGGCCGGCGCCCTATTCCTTTGAGCCACAGGTGCCAACCCTCCTCCCACCTTTCTTACTTGAAGGGATACTGTGGTCAGCCTGAACTTTGGTTGAATTTTGCTTATAATACATTCTGGAAACCAACTCATGCCAGCTTATGGAGATCTCTTTCAATTTCTTTAAGTTAAATAAATTTACTGTATTTATTTAAAAGCTTTTAGAGTTATGGTAAAATACATATAGCAAAAAACCCCCAGAAAACAAAAAACACCCATCACCACCATTCACCTCTAGAACTTTTTCATCTTCTTAAACAGAAACTCCATCCCCATCAAATACTGACTCCCCATTCCCCAGCCTGCCCCTGGGACCCACCACTCTACTTTTTTGGTCTGTATAACATAAGTGAAGTCCTACATTGTCTTTTGTCTGATTGGCTTATTCAAGGTTTACCTGTGTGGTAGCACTGTTGAAATTCTGAGGGCTGGGGTTTGAAGGATGTTTAGGAGTTTCCAGGGCTGGGTTTTGAAGGATGTTTAGGAGTTTCCAGGGCTGGGTTTTGAAGGATGTTTAGGAGTTTCCAGAGGAGATTGTTGCAAAGGATGTTGAGGAGTTTCCAGGGCTGGGTTTTGAAAGGTGTTTAGGACTTTTCTGGGCAGGCAAGGGGAGAGTGGGTGGGGAGGGGTGCTGCCAGCAGAGGTACTGGTATGCAGGGAGGGGGGCCTGTGGCTCCCTGCCCTCCCTGGCCACCCTCCCTGACTCATCTTCCTCCCACTCCAGCGTGAGACTTCAGCCACCACTCTCAGCATCCCCTTGCAAACAGACCTGACTGCTCTCCCCACTTCCATGTGCCCACCCTGCTGTGAGCCCCCACCTGCTACCTGCTGGTTTCTTGCAGTTGTCTCCTAATTGTTCTGCATCTGTCCTTGTCCTCTGAGCCCTCCCCAGGCAAAGCATGGTCCATTACCAGCAGCATCAGCACCCAAAATGCAGACTCCTAGGCTCCACCCTAGATCTTCCACATCAGGGCCTGAGTTTTAAGTAGGTCCCAGGAGTCTTGTGTGCATTAAACTTTGAGAAGCCCCACCTGACCAGCTATTTCTGGCACAGCAGGCAGGTGCACTCTGAACCCTTTTAGGCAGGTCAAATTTCCTCTCTGCTGAAACCCTCCTGTGGCCAAAGTCCCTGACCTCTGACCCTGTCTCCTGAACCCCTGTGTCCCCCCACACTTGGCCTTAGGGCTCCGCCTCTGCTGTCCCCTTGGCCCCTGGAATGCTTGTTTCTTACAGCACCCCATGGCCCAGTTTTTCAGCTCCTGACCCCCCTGTAGCTAGAGGGGCCTGCAGCCCAGCCCTCCTTTCTCTATTGTCTTGTTCTCTGTGGTCAACTAAATAATGTCCTCCTGATGTCGCAGGTCCCTGTGACCCGTGAATGTTACAGGACTTTGCAGGTGGAATTAAATGATGGATTTTGAGATAGGAGATTGTCCTGATTACCTAAGTGGGCCCTAAATGCTGACCCGAGGAGAGGCAGATGGAGATTCGACACAGACAGAGGAGAAGGGAACGTGACTGTGGGACATAGATGGGAGAGATGTGTCCATGGGCCAGGGAAGGCCAGCAGTCCCCAGAATTGGAAGAGGCAAGAGGGCTTCTGCCCGAGGGCCCCCGGGGGAGCACGCCCTGCTGACACCTGTGTCTAGGCTCAGAGGTTCTGATTTTGGCTTCTGGCCCTCAGGACTGTGGGGGAATAAATTTCTGTTGCTTTGAGACACACTGTTGGTGGCTGTTTGTTAAGGCAGCCACAGGAAGCTCATACGCCCTCAGAGTACTTTCAACCATCCTGTGCTCACTTCCTCACCAGCTGTCCCCCTTGCTAGAAAGTGGGCAGGGACCCGGCACTTGGCAGGGTCTCTGCAAGCATGAGTTGAATGGAGACATCTGTCAGCTGGCACTGGTGGCCTCTAGTTGTGCCACTCCCACTATCTCCCCCCTGCTCTGCCCCCATCCTAGCACTTCCCTCTGCCCTAACTACCCCTGGCTCTGCCCTGCCCCCACCCCACACTGCCCTGACTACCCTGGGCTCTGCCCTGTCCCCGCCCCAGCACCTCCCCACTGCCCTGACTACCCCTGGCTCTGCCCTGTCCCCATCCCAGCACCTCCCCACTGCCCTAACTACCCCTGGCTCTGCCCTACCCCACCCCAGAACCTCCCCACTGCCCTGACTACCCTGGGCTCTGCCCTGTCCCCATCCCAGAACCTCCCCACTGTCCTGACTACCCCGGGCTCTGCCCTGCCCTTACTCTAGCAAGGACTCCTCCTCCTGCTCACAGACTAGGAACAAAGGGCTCAACAGCCCTGAACACACCTGGTTCCCTCCACAGGGGAGGGAAGTCTGGGCAATCTGAAGAAGTCTGCGCCACCACAGACCCCTGAGGGCCTGCCAGGGAGCAGGATCAGGACTCTGACACAGGATGTCAGGCCTAACCTCACCTGTCCTCAAGCAAACGGGAAGAAACAAACTTAATTCCAGTTACACCCAGGAGAGCAGCTCGGATGGCTCGAGACAAGAAAGAGGAGGAGGGAATCTGGATTTGCAGGGCCGGGCTTTTTTCTTATTATATTTTTTTAAGGTTATGATTTTGGTGTAATTCCTCCTTTCAGTTTTCCTATGTGAATATATGCTGTTTCCCTAGAACACTGCAACCCTACTGTGTGTCTGGGTATACGGGCGTAGGCCCTCCATGTCCTCCACCCTCTCTCTCTGGTGGGTCTTTCCCCTGTGATTCTTCAAAATGTGGCTTCTAAAGACTTGTGCTCTGTGCAGGGCACCCTAGTTTATTTTGATGAGCCTATACTTTGTAACTTTTTCTTTCCAATATCAGAGTACCAGAAACTAAAGTCAGAAGGAACCTTAGGAGACATATAAGCCACCTCCCTGTCACCTTCACCCCAGGGACAAGGACTCCATCCTCACCCCAGAATGGCTACCCCAGAGCTGAGAGCCAGCCACAGGCTTTGGGGCAAAGAGCCTTGGGGGGACCCCCCCTTACTAGCCACATGTGACCTCTGGCACTCGCTTATATCCCGCAGACTCAGCTTCCCTGAAGTGGCAGTAACACCTACCTCTCTGGGTTATAGGAAATTAAGTGAGATAATACGGGTAAGGCTCTCAGCCACTACTCTTATGAAATATTTATTACCCAGCCAGTCTTGGACACATGCTTCTGAAAACAGAGTGTCAGGTCACAGAGAGGGCATCTAGCAGGAGGGCTGGAAACCTGAGGCTGACCGTGACAATGCCTGTCCTTGGCCATGTGACCTTAGGTTTACTAACACTGTCTGCTTCCTGCCTTGACTTCTTGTGACAATCAGGGGGTCCTGTGAACGGTGCCACATGAGGGTGGCTGCCACTCCTGTCTCAGTTCATCCCACTCCTGGGCAGGCTGGTGTTGTGTCCCTGGTGTGGCCCAGAACAGGGCTGAGCTTCTGTCTGCATGACAGCCCTGTAGTTGCCAGGACCCCATAGAATAGGGGACATCAAACCTTTAGATATAAAGGACCTAGAGAAATACCTCAGGCTTTGTGGGCCAGGTAGACTCTGCTGTGGTTACTCAGCTCTGCCCTTGTAGGGTGAAAGCAGCCGCAAACAATGAGTAAAGGAATGGTGTGGCCCTGTGCCAATAAAACTTTATTTATAAAAATAGGCTGTGAAATTCATAGACAGGAGGTAGCTTAGAAGGGCTAGGGTGGCTTGGCACCTGTGGCTCAAGCGGCTTAGGCACCAGCCATATACACCTGAGCTGGCAGGTTTGAATCCAGCCCTGGCCTGCCAAACAATGATGGCTGCAACCAAAAAATAGCTGGGTATTGTGGTGGGTGCCTGTAGTCCCAACTACTTGGGAGGTAGAAGCAGGAGAATCACTTGAGCCTAGGAGATGGAGGTTGCTGTGAGCTGTGATGCTACGGCATTCTACCCAGGTTGGCAGCTTGAGGCTCTGTCTCAAAAAAAAAAAAAAGATCTGGGGAGTTATTGCTTGAGCCTCTGGAGTGATGAAAAATTCTGAAAATAGATAATGGTGATGGTTGCATAGCAAACTACACACTTAACAATGGTTAAAATGGTAAATTTTCTGTTTCATATATGTATTAAAAAAACTAAAAACCAAAAACCCAAAGAAGCAGCCCAGGATGGTCTTTGCTTCTTTGCTGGCTCAGTCGGGGCAGGCTGCTAACTAAAGTTGAAACCCTGGGTATTGCTCACCTGGGCTGCAGCCAGGTGGGGCCATCAAACGAACATATTGATTTTTTTTTTTTGGACACAAACTACGGGATTTAATACAAAAGTTCTTGCCCCTTCACTTGCCCCTTGTCACCTGCCACGACCTTTCAGAACCCTGACTCTGCCCTGCTGTATGCTTTGTCCTTTCAGCTCAGTGTCATCCAGAAATGACCTCCACCATCTTCATGCATGTCCCTGTGCTCCTCAAGGTAATACTGAGAGCTGGGCCGGCTGGGGCTGCCACTGGATCCCAAGTCAACACTTAGCTGTTGGTGAGAAAGTCATGTAGTTGGAAGGTTCTCACTCAGCTTTGTGTCTTTCCCAAGAGGACATCACAGGCCACGCAGCTAATGCTGGTTGGGAGTGAACTTAACTCCACTAAGGCATTCTCCCACCTACCGCTTTAGGAATCACACGGAAGGGAAAGCAAGGCTGAGTCAGGCAAGAGTTTTTTGGAGCAAACCACGTGGGCCCTACAGGTCTGACTGAACCAAGCTGGTGAGCTTAGGGAAGGCCATTCCCTTCACCTTAAAGACTGCCAATTTTACCCTCACACAGTCCATACCCAGCAACCTCAAAGCAAGGGGCAAATGGTTCTATGACCAGCTACTGTCTTAAAAATGGCCCCAGGGTGGCGCCTGTGGCTCAAAAGGTTAGGGTGCTGGCACCATATGCTGGAGATGGTGGGTTCAAACTCAGCCCCAGTCAAAAAAAAAAAAAAAAAAAAGGCCCCAAACACAAACTACATGCATTTAAATTTTGATAGCAGACTTTTCCTTGGAAAACTAAGCAATCACAGCTAACAAGGTCTTGAATCAACTCACTGATTAATTTTTAAATGCAACCTTTCCAACAGTAAGTAGGGCAGACAGAGCACCATTGCTTGTGTAGACGCCCAGAGCTCTCTCAGCAAATGCCACTGCTCTCATTTCCAGACACTGCTGCGCTGTCCAGAAGCACATACTAGCCTGGGAACACTTTCTCCCTCTCCTTCCAAGACCCAGAGGCGCTGGAAGCACACAAGCATCTCCTTGGCATTCACCCTTGTACCCCAACTGATAGAAGCCCCAGCAAATACATACGATTATGATGGATACGACTCATGACAGTTACGGGAAACGCACAGATAGGAGCTGGTGCAACATAAATCTACTCCGAATCTTCAGCTTGAGACAAAGATTGCTGAGGCTGCCTCTACATGGCCTCAACGGGTATCTGTTGAGGGTTCAAACTCACATGAGGTCTCAGCTTCAGGGACTTGGTGAGGCTCCAATGAACCCAGCACCTGGGTGGGGGCACTTGACTTGGCATCTTGTTTGGCCACTGCTGCACATCTTTCTGGGGCCCACAGGTTCGGGGCCCTCTTGTCAAACAAAGAGGGAGGTGGCCACAGTGGCTCCTGGGAGCATATGCTCACCGGTGCAGGCAGGAGATTTAACCACATGCCCAGGGGAGCCCTCGGGATGCTGGGGTGTTGAGGGAGCCACATCTTACCTCATCAGTGATCTGGCCTCCAAAGGTCACCCATGTTCCTGGAACAAGACATACAGGTTTAAATTAGCAAACCTGCCAGGGAGCCAGATTCCCACCTTGGGTGCTCAGACCTCAGGCTGTAGGGCCCAGGGGGCAACCACGGGTATGCTAGTCTACAAAGAGTGTGTCCTTGGTCTGTGTGGACACTTGGCCTTCAAGGCAAGACTCTCCCTCTTGGGGCCATGGGATTGAAGGGACAAAAGGCTCCAGAGTAGGCAGCTGGCTGCAGGCTCTGGAGGCAGGGGAGCCAAAGGGACTCAGAAAAACGCTCGCCCTGACTTACGCTAACGTGGCTCCTATTGCAGGGACATGCTGCAGGGGACAGTACCAGGAATGCTCCCTGAGAACAGGCAAGGTTGTCCTGGTGCTCCTGCTGGGACAGGGATGGGCAGGTGGGGAGCGACAGTAGAGGATATATTGTGTGCAGTGTGGAGGTGGAGAAGAGTGACTCTGGGGACAGAATTTGCGTGTGGAGAGAGGAAAGAGCACACAACCCAAGAGGGACACTCTCATGCAGTCAAGAGTGGAAAAAGTCTCTGTGGTTTGGGGTGGGGGCTGTGTGCAGAGGCCCCAGTGTCCTCTCTCCTGCTGTGCCAAGGCTGTGTGCCTATCTCCTCCAGTGCCTTTTGCCTGCCTCTACTGCCATGGTAACCCAGCCCCCAGAATCCTGGGCTCTGGGTGCAGCTACTCCCGGGGGGTGCTGAGGGTTGGGCCCTCTTGCAGCCCCTGCTCCCTTGGCCACCACTGCGCCCAGGGCACCCCTCACTCACCGAGCCCCAGGCAGGAGACCCGCAGGCCGGACTTGCCCAGGTTCCTGGAAAACAGACCTGGTGTGAGTCCTCAGCTCCAGGCAGCCCCGCCAGCCCCCGCCCCACTCCCACCCCAGCCCACAAGCGTCCTGGGGCCCTGAAAGGCACCGGGACCTGTGCAGAGATGCCACTGCTCCCGGCCCCTGTGGTGACGTGCCAACTGTCCCCCAACCCACACCAGGGCATGGCCACACTGCTGGCACAGGTCTGCTGGTAACCAACAAGGACAGGCAGTAATGCACATGCATATGAACCTGTCTTGTTTTATGGTTGGAAACATGGCTGATTTCAGCCCTGTGGTACCGTCACTGGCCGTCCCCTCCCTCAGAAGTTTCCTCTTCCTCTCTAGAGGCCACCCTTGACTCTGGTGTCCTCTCCTTCTCTGAGAACGGGGTAGAAGATATTCCCATCTCACTTGGACCACATGGCCTGTGGATCTGCTCCTCCTCCCCGCCCCCCCCGTGGTGGCTGCTGGGTCCCAGCAGGCCAACCCCAGCCAGCAGCACCAGAGCCTAACAGAGCAGGGTGGCCTGGGCTGTGTCAAGGGGCCACCAAAGCATCTGCCTCACAGTGCTGCCCAGAGGCCATGGGAATGGGCCTCGGGCTGTCTTTAGCATCCTCAGGAGGTGGAGGAGGGTAGCAGCCTCTGTTGAAGCCTAGCATGTCCATCTGTCCTGACCCAGGCCAGCTGGGAGCCCCAGATTCTCCTACAGCTCTGTGTACAGCACCCTGCATGTCCTGATACCATGACTTCCACCATATGGAGGAGCTGGGATCCCACCCAGGCAGTTGGCTCACATGCCTCACCCTGGTGGCACATGCCCCGTCCTTTTTTCTGGGGACCCAGGGTGTGATCTGCCCAGATGGTGAAGTTGACCAGTGGCTAGGTGGCTATAGCTGGGGTCAGACTTTACTTCCCGGTGGGATGCTGTGAGAGTTGGGGAGCCATGAGAGATGCCAGGGGCGGGGGCGGGGGGAAGCCCAGCCTCCCTGCTGAGGGCAAGGGTGTAGCAGCCCGTATAGCCTATGGCTACGAGGAGTGAGAGTTATAGGAAATACCTGTAATGGAACACCTTGGTGAAAAGGGCATGGAGAGAGATTTGGTTCTAACAAGCATGAGTGAGCTCGCGAGATGAGAGCATTGGTGAATTGGCAGTCTCTACACCTGTGGTGGTGAGAGGCACGAGCTCAGCCTTATATTAGGCTGGAGGAGAAGGCAGTCAAGGGGCATGCGCATTCTATCAGGGATCCACTTACTCTGACTCTGTCTCCTCTCCTGCCTGCAGAACGCCAGCGTGGCGTCTCTCTGCTGAAGATTACCACGCTCTGCTAAAGACTAAGATCTATCTGTTCTAAAAAGACTGCTTTGCTCTCTCTAAGATACTGTCTCTCTCTCTAGCTAAAGTAGATAGCCCTCAAGCACCTACGAGAAACTGTTCCTGAGCAAGGTAGCTTAGTGGTCTGCGTCCAGAACCTACCTAAGCTGGGCCCGAGACCTGGCCAGTCCTGGGCCCTGACAAGTGGCATCAGAAGCGGGATAGTGAATGCCACTGACAAATGGTGCTTTGAGTAGGATTCAGTGAACGTGGACCGAGGGGGAAATAAGCTTTAGCAAAATAAGAAAAAAAAAAAATAGAAATGCTTAGAGGGAAAGGAAATATCTAAGAAAGACAGCTAACAGCAGGCTTTTCTCATTCGGTTTTTCCTCTTCTTTCCTGCGTTTTCTCTTTCCAAATTCTAACTACTACTTCTGTGGGGGGAAAAAGCTGGTAAAATCCTTCAGCCTCTTCTGTGAAGTGGCTGGAGAAAAACAGAAAAAAGCCTCTAAACAAGAGGGAAAGAGAAAGGCTAGACCTAGGAGATGAGAATCTTTAGTAAACAAGCCTTCCGTAAAACAGCAAAGAGAAAAGTTTGGGAACAGGTTGTTAGAGCTTATTAAGTTAAGGAAGAGAACTTCTAACTGCCTTCCCCTAATACCTTTGCCCAATGCCAGCAGGAAGCAGCTTTTGAGAGACCGACGCCCCAATTCCCTTTTTGGCAGTTAAGAATTCTGTTTAAAAAGAAAAGAACTGAGGTAGATTGAGGCTGGTGAAGAAATAGTGGAAGTAAAGTTTTGTAAAACAAGACTCCAGAGTAAAAAGAAACAGCTAAAGAGCTCCTGTCTCTTTAAGGCAGCCAAAGGTTCTAAGAATTGAAAGGGAAAGATTGTAAAAAGTAAAAGGCCAAAAGAAAAAAACCAGTAGAGAAAAATCATGGCAAATGAGATACAGTAGTTGAAATACAGTTGAGACATCAGATGAATCTTATAGTAGAAGCAGATAAATGCTATATTGACATCTCAAATTGGGCAGCTGGAAGATCAGAGGGTAAATCCCCCAGTTAACATCAAATGCCATAAATGTGGGAAGCTAGGCCATAAGAGAAAAGTGTTTAAAAAAGAAAAGAACATTGAATGCTAAAGGAACAAAGAGCGTGTAAACTTCCAGGTGTACGTCCCAAGTGTAAAAAAAGCTTTCCTTGGGCAAACAAATGCCGTTATCAATTTGATAATGGAACCCCTGTATAGTAGGGAAATTATCAGTTGGGCCAGAATCAGAACCCACTGGTAAATGAAAGAAAACAGTTTAATATTTTCATTTCGAACCATTCTCAGAAAAAACAGTATAATTCAATTCTATGCCGTGGGAGCACTGTGCCAGCTTGGTTAGACCTGTGGTGCCTTAGTGTAAAACGGGAAATTAGACCAATGGGTGACAATGGAGAATAATTAGATTAAATATGTTTGTGGAATATTAGGTTATCCTGCGTGGTGAAGGGGTAACCGACCTCTCATCAGTGTCTGTGCACTATAACCGGGTCCAGCTAAGGAGACTGGACACGGCCCAAAGGGGAAGTGTCACTCGGAAGCAAGTGAAGCTTTTGGAAGATTATGAGAAGTGAGAACAAAGGGAGGGAAGAGTAAAAGTTAAACCACCTCTGTGCTAGGAAACTGCACTTGAAAAAAAGTCTGGAATCAATTAGCAAAAATTTTGCTGGAAAAGCAGCTTGAAAGCAGGAAAAACTCTGCTATCAAGGAATTGTGAAGGGTGGTACTTTTTGGACCACAGTAACAGTTCCATGAGAGGAACTGCCAAGTGTGGAACCATTAATCTACGAGTAACAGTCTTTTGCGATCTGTGAAGGGTGGATTTCAGTACCTCGAGTAGCAAAACCTTTGGAATAGTGAGAGAAAAATCCTCTGCTTGCAAAGATTGCAAGGAAAGCGTTATTTTTTGTTCGTCCGTTAAGTAAATATCAAAGGAAAGTTCCTACAGTTAAAGAAATGATAAATTCTATCAGGAAAGATTTCAGTTTTCTCCGTTTAAAAAGACCTTTAAGGGAATTAACATCAAGATCATTTTCCCCTAGCAGCGGCTAATAGTTTACCTCTGTATTGGGCTTCCTCATTTAAAGAGCCCATACTTGGAATTCTGAACTCTGACAATTACCATCTTTTGCCTGGAAAGAAAAGGGCTAGATAACAGGAAGAACGGCCCTTACCACATTAAAAATTATGTTTGTATATAAAAAAGGGGGGAAATGTAGCAGCCTGTATAGCCTATGGCTACGAGGAGTGAGAGTTATAGGAAATGCCTGTAATGGAACACCTTGGTGAAAAGGGCATGGAGAGAGATTTGGTTCTAACAAGCATGAGTGAGCTCGCGAGATGAGAGCATTGGTGAATTGGCAGTCTCTACACCTGTGGTGGTGAGAGGCACGAGCTCAGCCTTATATTAGGCTGGAGGAGAAGGCAGTCAAGAGGCATGAGCATTCTATCAGGGATCCACTTACTCTGACTCTGTCTCCTCTCCTGCCTGCAGAACGCCAGCACGGCGTCTCTGCTGAAGACTAACAGCTATCTGTTCTAAGAAGACCTTTAAGATACTGTCTCTCTCTCTCCAGCTAAAGTAGACAGCCCTCAAGCACCTACGAGAAACTGTTCCTGAGCAAGGTAGCTTAGTGGTCCGCGTCCAGAACCTACCTAAGCTGGGCCGGAGACCTGGCCAGTCCTGAGCCCTGATACAAGGCCCCCCGCCTTTTCCTGGGGCCACTACCTTCTGACTTCAGCTGATGCTGCTCAGTTGATTCCCTTCTTTATCTGAGTCTTGTCTCCAGAAGGCAGTGTGGGGCCACTGCCCCCGACACAGGCCCACTGTGACTTCCACAGCCTCAGTTTCCCTGGTTGCGAGACCACTGGACCACCTCTATCATGAGTGGATATAATACTCGTATGCCAGTTTGAAAACAGTTGAGTGTGTCATGAAATTGAAGGTAGTTTTCAATGACCGAGGTTTATTACAAAATTTCCCGTTATAGCCAGCCCAGCTGCCAGACTACACTCCACACGTCCAGAGTCCCCTGAAGGAGAACACATGGGCAGCCGGTTTCTCTTTCAGGAAGGGGAGGCTCAGCAGAGGCTGTGGACACAGGCTCTGAAGTCAGAGCTCAAATCCTGGTTCAGCTTTCCTGGAAGGATGATGACCTTGGGCATTTTGTGAAATTGTCTGATGCCTCAGTGTTGCCATCTGCAGAATGGGCTCACCATGGTGCCTTTCTCATGAGGGTTACATGAAAGGATGTGTGTTCCCAGGGCACAGGACACTACATCATACATGTCTTGTTTCCTAAAAGGGTTGGGGTGGGGGCCGAGGGAGCCACAGAGCAGGACATGGCACAGTGGACGCTTCCTCACACAACACAAGGACACCTCCAATGGGCTTTAGCTACTCCTGTGTCAAAAGTAAACGGGTGAAATAACCTAGCAATCCCCTCAGCAATGCTCACGGCACCAGCCCAGAGGAGTGCGCGTCTGGCTGCTAGAAAGCAGGGCCCAACTGTACCCCTTGTTGGCTGCGTAAGCCGGGCCTGTTGAGCAGTCGAGGTCATTTCCCCCATGCTGGCTAGAAAGAAACTGTAGTTAGAAAGGACAAAGTCGCTTAGAACGGGTCCAGTAAAGGACAAAAGG